TGATAATGCGAGTTCAAATGATGTTGATGTTGGATATTTGAAGAACACGATTTCTAAGGGTAATGAAACTTTCATGTTGGGTGGTGATTTTTTTCATGTTAGGTGTTGTGCTCATATTCTTAATTTAGTTGTGAAAGATGGGTTAAATGAACTGAAAGATTCAATAATTCGAATTCGTGGGGCAGTAAAGTATGTTAGGAGTTCTCCACAAAGAGAACAATGCTTCAAAACATGTGTAGAGAATGAGAATATAACAAGTAAAAGCTTTTTGTACCTAGATGTTCAAATTAGGTGGAACTCCACATATCTAATGCTAGAGGCCGCAATCAAATTTCAAAAAGCATTTGAAAGGCTAGTATACGAAGAGCAATTCAAATTTGAACTTAGTAGTAATGATGGAATTCCTACGGCTAAGGATTGGGATGATGCTTGTTTTTTTACTCAAATATTGCAAAAATTCTATGATGCCACAGTGCATTTGTCTGGTTCATTGTATGTCACTTCTAATTTGTTCTTCAGTGAAATTTGTGGCATTGAAGCTAGCTTGGTTGAATGGTCTAAAAGTTTGGATCCTTGTATATGTGCCATAGCTAAAAAAATGAAGATCAAGTTTGATAAGTATTGGGGAAACATTGAAAAGTTGAATGTAATGCTATTCATTGCAAATGTGTTAGATCCTCGTTGTAAATTAATGTATTTAAGGTTTTGTTTCTCCAAAATTCATGATCCAGTCAAGGTAAATGTGTTGATGAAAATGATAGTAGATATGCTGAAACATCTTTTTGATGAGTTTGAAAAGGATGAGTTAGCTAATTCATCCTCATTTCAAATTATAAATGTTGAGACTAATACTATGGCGGTTGACCAATTGGGTGGTACAAATGATGTGGTCTCACTATCAGAGTTTGAAAAACATATGGAACAAGAAGGTGATGAGAGAGACAAAACTGAAGTGGACAAATATTTGGAGGAATCTCGTGAAAAGAATAGTTCAAACTTTGATATTTTGAATTGGTGGAAGGTGAATAGTGTGAGGTATAAAGTTTTTCCTGAAGTTGCAAGGATTGTTTTAGCCATTCCCGTCTCTACTGTTGCTTCCAAGTTTGCATTTAGTACGGGAGGTCGTGTTCTTGATCGATTTCGTAGTTCTCTTAGTCCTAAATTTGTGGAATGCTTAATTTGCGGACAAGATTGGTTGCGTTCTTCATCGGTCCCAATTCAAGTAGAAGAAACTGTGGCTGAAATTGAAGCAATTGAATCTGGTACTATTAATTTTATACAAAATTTAGTTTTAAAGTATTTTGTTTTTATTGAAATATTTATAAAAGTTGTCTTTGCCTTTTGTAGATGAGAATGTAGCAGCTGATTAGCACGTGGCAGCAGCATGCAACCATGCATGATGCAGTAGAATGTCTCACTGAGTCACTGGTGAGTTCTTTTACTGATTATTGACCTATAGTGATTTGTTTGATGCACGTAAATATTTTTTTTTAAGGAAACCAGTAAAGACTGATGGTGAAAGGGATTGAAAGAATCTTTGAAAAAATCTGAACCATATGTTTCTCCTCTCTTTCAAGAGGGGCGTCAAAATGTGAATCCGCAAAGTTTTCGTAAATGTGTAAATTTAATTCAGTATAGAGTTTATGAAGAGACAAATAATACCATGGAATTTCTGGAGTGGATTAATTTCTAATATATAGTACTCATTATTTATATTTTCTTGTAATCTAATTCTTAATATTTTTGTATGGGTTCACATCAGGCATGTTTTATTCGATAGTTAAAATTTACATGTACTTTGCAAAGTCTTTTAACAAATTTACAATTTCTTTTGGGCCAAGTTTTGGTACATGAGACTTGTATTTATTTCAATATATGGTCATCACTTCAGGGTATCGCAATTTTTATGAGTATTGAACCTCACCTCCGAATTGGGAGTCTGTCAATGAACAAATTTCTTTGCTACACTAACTCAGTAGTGCATGTGTTCAAGGCTTTTCCCCTAATGGTGGACTGCTCACAGGTCATATATGCACATTGAAATATTATAACAACTCAACTTCTCTTTGGTAGAGTTAAATAAGTAGTGTGTGATGGTTACTATTTTTTATTTTTTATGTTTTTGTTATTTTTGAAGGAATTGAACCATATATTTTTCAGTGGACATATCCTCCTAGGAACACCTTTCAGAAATCCTCTCTTAAGAATTGCCAATGCCATATATTTTTCTGTGGTTTGCCAAATGTCATTCTGTAACTCTTGGTTTTTTTTAAAAGGTGGGGAAGATGTTTCGATTGCTTTCTATGTGAGGCTGTGAGCAGCTACAATGGAGTAACTGCTGTCATTGCTGTTGCTAAATTGCTGATGATGCTATTGCTGCATAATGGACTATTTCAAATTCTCCACATTCTGTTAAGACTGTTATCTGTAACTCTTGGATTGTTGAATGTTGAATGTTGATTCAGTTTTCTTTTTTGTAATTCTAATGGATTAACTGAATTTGTGGGATGTAATATTTTTATATTTTGTGTTTATTTATATTTATATTTTTGTTATTGTATTTGTATTTTTTTTAAGAGAAATTAAAATAATATTGAAAAAGTCAGCTTGGTCAACGGTTCTATGGAACTGAACCGTTTTCCAGTTCGGTTCCACTGTCCACGGTTCCGGTTCCGGTTCCAATTTTTAGGAACCGTTGAGACCGATTCCGGTTCCAGCAAGAACCGAACCGAACCGAACCGTGTGCACCCCTAAGAAGAAGTAGTATCAAGGAGCATTTTTCATCAATTAGCTTTGGAAGTGAGGATGAGAATTCATGTACAACAAATCAGGAGCATCAATTAGCTTGGTTAAGTTATTTGCTTGCTTTGAATCCCTTACTCAGTTCAACTCATGGTAATGAATTCATATTAAATTGTTTTAATATTAGGTTTAGTGATGATCAAATGATTGTTAGGTTTCATTCAACAAATTAACAATTATTGAGTTTTGTTGTACTCATGTTGAAGTATTTATTTGAATATGAGTATTTTGTTGTATTTTTTCTTTTTTTTTAATGAGGACTTGAGTTTGGTTGTTCATGTTATCCAGAACCTTCAATTGTTTTGGTTTTCATTTGATTTGCATTTGTCAATTCAAATTTTAAAACATTTTTGCTTAATCTTCCTTGGTCCCGTTTCTTGAAAATTTTAGATGGTATTTATATGTCAACTTGTGTCTATGAGTTTTGGATTGCTATATTTTATTTTTTATTTCGCCGGTGTAATTATTTTTTGAAAGTTCGTTCATCTCGAGAAACTTGAGTCCATGATAGGAAAGTCTTAACAAATTTTTTTTTAATGCTATAGAAAGAAGAAGTGTCTTGTTTCTTACAATGCAAAATACTAGAAGGTTATTCCTTTTGTACTTGATCCATGTGGATTACTTAATAATAATTATATATATATATATATATATATATATTTGATTATAATCTATATTTTAGAATATATCTTAATATACATGGATTTGAGTTTAAAGCCCAAGAAGCAAAATAAGATATCTTTTCGCTTGACATGATGATCACTTAAAATATTTGAATGTGAAAATATACGAGAATTGTTCTACGAAGATATCGAAAGATTTCTATATAGAATATATGATTATAGATAGAAGTTTGATAAAAGTAAAAAAAATATTTAATCAAAAAAAAAAAAAAACACAAATTAAAAATAGAAGCTCATTTGTGAAATAAATGACATATGAAGATATATTTTCATATTTATTACTTCACATTAAAAAAATCAAATCAAATAAATTACAGTTTATCAAAGTTTTCTTTATCACTGATCAAATAATTTTTTTATAATTTATTATAATCTTATCAATCACTTAGATTTACACCACGTGCATTTGCACGAGCTTTTTTGCTAGTAAACATAAAACATGTGCGTAGGAAATACTTCAATCGTCCAGAAAAAATCGGCTAGTGGGTAGTAGGGAGAGTGGTGAGAATATGACTTTGCTGCGTTTAGTGTGCAGGAATTGAATGGAATGAAATGCGCATTATAACTTAAAGTGGGAATGTTCTTTCGGAATGAAAATCCATTTCACAATAAAATCAATGGAATGGTCATTCCATTCCCAAGTAATTTTTTTTTTTTTTTAAATCAACTTCCTAAAAAATATTAATGTTCCAAGTCCAAAAATCACTAGCACCATTGTCACCAACACCGCTACCTTCCCCCCACCACCATCACCTTCCACCACAACCACTTCTGCATTTCACCACTGCGACCGCCTTCCACCACTGTCACTTTCCATTGCAACCACCGCCACCTCCTTTCACCACCATTACTTTTCACTACCAACGCCACCTTCAACCATTTCACTGCCTTCCACTACCATCATTGCCTAGCTTCCACCACCGCCACCTTCCACTACCACTAGTATCTCTTTTCACCACCACTGCCTTCCAACACCACTACCACTTTCCACCTCTACCACCATCGTCACCACCATCCACTTGCCACCATTTCTTTTAAAAAATCACAAAAGAATGTTATTTTTTAATTTAATTTATTTATTAATAAGAGGGTATTTTGTAAAAGTTAATTTGAAATTCATTCTATTCTAAATTTTAATTTGATACAACCAAATACTAGAATAGTTATTATCATTTCATTGCAACACATTTCAATATTTGCAACCAAACAATAGTGTCATCCACATTCTTATTCTATTTCCACTCGTATTCCATTCTATTATTGAATAACAAACACAACACAGTATTTTAAATATTCAAAATTATTTGAGGTAAAATTAACATCAACAAAACTATTTAAATTCAATAATTTGACCTATTTTAAGCTTAGTTTACGATTATTTCTAAGCGCGGAACATAACTCGACCATTCTTTAACTAAATTGAACTTCGAAAACTAAACCACAAATTTTTTTTTACCAATTGTTTTTTTTTTTTGGTTGGAAAAAGAATTAAAAAGAAAAATTGTTATTTTACTCCGTAGAAATTGGAGAGGTGGTGTTTGATATTATTACAATGTGTGGTTCAACGGAAAAATGAAAAGAGAAACAAATACTACCGGATCTCTCAACGAATATTTGTTTACCTCCCATCGGAAGTTCCCAAATTTTCTCAAATCAGAAGGTTTTCTCTCTCCTAGATCACACGTATCATATTCTTCTTCAAGAAAGTTATTATTATTTTTTAATTTTCTCGTCTCCACAATTCAATTCAAACCTGTCGATTGGTCTATGGTCACTCCTTTGCATTTCTTTTGTGTTTCGTGTTATCAATTTCGGAATATTCACTGTTTTTGTAATAATTAGGGTTCGATCAAGATCGTGGACGTGTTTTTCCTTTATCTGATCAATGAAAATTGCGCTATTTTTATTTTTATTTTTATTTTTTTTTGACATTTCGATTCTAGGGTTGTTGATCAATAGTTCGTGATAATGAAATAGCAGTAGGCCTTTGTGAGTTCATGTCCATGGGTTTGAGTTTTTTTATCTATTGATTTTGGTATATTTTCTTGTGATGATGTGTTTTATTGGCAGGAAAATGGATATTTGTTGTCGGGTTTGAAGTTTGAACTCGAAGGACCTTTGCTGTATGGTCTGTTGGTAAATTTTGTCTTACTTGTGCTGTTATATTGTACGTGGAAGTAAAATTTTCAGTGTCAGGTTTATATCATCTTATGTGGTTAGATGCTATCTTATTTGGGCTGAAGCTCTTAATGTTGTTAAGTTTGGTGTTAGTTCAATTATTTATTGTGTCTATTGCAATCACATGTGTTCTTTGAACAAATTGGACTTCATAAATCTGAATCATGAAGTAAGCAATGTTATACAACCTAGCCTACTCATAAAGTGTCTAAATAGTCATACCAAAGCCTATGCTTTCACGAGAGTTGAGAGGCTCATGGGTATAGAGGAAAGGCTACCATATATATATTGCAGCTTATCACATTAAAAGTTTGAACACACACTAATTAAGAGAGTATATAAGTGTCTTAATTCTTAAGGGGTTCTAAATGAAGTATACAAGACACGAAGCAAAGATCCTGCGAGGGAAGTGGGAGGCATGAGTGGTATTGAACTCTGGAATTGAGAGTGTTTCCATGATTAAGGAAAGATTCCATTTCGCCTTGATAAATAGGGGTGTATGTTATGCTGGCCCAGTAAAGGCTTTGCCTCAACAGCCAAGTCAAACCTTCAAACTGTTCCATAATGGTATAATAATGGATTGACAGTCTCTGACGATGAGCACGGGATTATGGTACGTCCCACCACCCAGGTACTAAGTCAATTGGGCTCTGTGTCCTGCTCCGAGGTTACTATATAGTGCCACATGGCAAATCTACAGTACCACATGTCTCCAATTTATGGATAATTGATTTGGCCACACAGTTATTCAAAATGAACACTCTACAATAAGTACAAGTAGGACATACTTTTTAGGTGTTAAATGCATTGAAGAAAAGCGTGGTAAAATTTTGTTGGGACCATCTCTTTAACCTATCAAGCAGCTTGGTTTGTCCATGTGCCCTATAGAAAAAACTCACATTTTAATGTTTTCTCTAACTCCTATTTTATACTTATATTGTGCACATTGACAGAATCGGTTTCAAATGAGGGTGAATCTCATCCGCATTTAAATTTGGCCAAATTTGTAAAAGTTTAGGATTGGGTTCACCATTCAATTCATTTTAACTTTTGAATTCAAGAATTGCCACTGATTTCTTAGGACTGATATAAATTCTTCACTTTTTAGAATTGTGAAATATAAGCATAAAGTATATCTGTTTTGATCATGAGTAATGCAATTGTATAAACAGGCTGTATATCTTTGATAACTAAATTGACGACAATTTGGGGAAGTTTTGACTTGTAGAACATGGTGATGTCACTAAACAAGAAACAAGTAAAATAAAATATGTATATCATTTATAACATTTATGGCGAAAATTGCTATTATTCTGTAATCTTCTGCTTAGATTTATTTTACTTTACAACTATGTATATCCTCAGATTAATCCTTGTCATAATCTTCATCTGGATGTATAGGTCTTGATTATTATTATTATTTTGTCCCTGTCATTTTCTACTCTTGTATCCTTATATTCAGCATGTATAATTGGAAAGGTAATGGCATCAGAGGAAGATGTTGACATTTCAACTTTAAAGTCTCAACTAGGCCAAATGCAAATAATGTGGAAGCAGGAGATGGAACGAAGCCAATCACGAGTGGACAGATTACAAGCAAAACTCGTGGATATAAGGGCTTGTATGCAGGGATCTGAGGAAGACACTAAAAAGGAGTTAGATGTTCTTTGGCAGAGAGTCAAAGCAACAGCAACACTGTTGACATACTTGAAATCGAAAGCGAGAATTATGGCTGTTCCTCATTTAGCCCATACCTCATGTGGCATTAAACAATTAGATGGGGTTGGCCTTGTTGACAAAAATGGTATACCATTGTCTGGATGGTCTAGGAATGTTAACCTTTCATCCTTTGATAGTCCAGATGTGGAAACATGGATTGGGACTAGTAATCTGAATGGTTCCCCTGATGAAAAAGATGGAGCTTATATTGGTGAATTGCTGAAGAGTGTACATATGGTCACAGATGTAATGGAAACTCTTGTCAAGAGGGTTATTATGGCAGAGTCTGAAATGGCTGTTGAGAAAGAGAAGGTAACTTTGGGACAGGAAGAGATTAAAAAGAAGGCACACCAAATTGAGAATATGTCAATAAAGTTAGAGGAAATGGAAAAGTTTGCTCTAGGTACAAATTGTATTCTGAGTGAGATGAGACAGAGGGTTGAAGATTTAGTTGAAGAAACATCTAGACAGAGGCAACGAGCTGCAGAAAATGAACAGGAGCTTTGTCGCGTGAAGCGAGATTTTGAATCCCTGAAATCGTATGTTAACAGTCTTATCAGTGTGAGAGAAACACTTATTTCATCAGAGAAGCAGTTTCAAACGATTGAGAGGCTTTTTGAACGGTCAGTATGTTCTGTTTTGCCTTTAGTGAATGGAAAATAATTGACTATATTTTCACTGTTATTTGTGGTTGCATTATGTTGTTTGCTTGGATAATGAGGCTTCCTGACTGTTTGCTAATACTTTCTCCATTTGTGTGCTTCAGTATTAGATTAATTTTTTCTGCTTATTGCTTCCTTTCTGAGTATTTGTCATATTACTCAAAATATTTATTTTGCTGTGTCTGAGGCATGTATTCATTGCTTGGAGGGGGATTTCATGGTGTTCTATTGAGTTTATTATGACTTACCTATCATTGGTTCTTTACAGTCCTCCACTGGACTTTTTGTTCTGTTGTTATCCTTGAACTACTTTTTGGGTTGAGTTCTCATAGATAAATATTTTATTTCCCTTATTTTTTGTTTTTGACTCTCTCCTTAGCTGTTTGGCAGGTAACCTAGACAAAATAGGTGTTGGAAGTTAATGATTACTTGATGAATAGCTTCTTTAAGGGTCGTTGTTGATTGATTTGTCCTTATGACTGGATAAGCATCCATTAAGACTCATGAATCTAGCTACCTAGTAATGTCAAATTGGAGCACTTCTTTTCAAGCTCCATTCATGAATTTATAACTTGTGTCTATGTTCATTTTTACGATGGGCCTAGTTGCCTGTGTCTATATTCATCTATATGCTTCTCCTTGTTTTGTACATCTCTGTATTTTCACCCTTGTTATACATCAGAAAGCCTTAATCGACTCATTATATATATCTCTTAATGGATAAGTTTAGTTCTTCTCCCTTATAGTTTCAGTATTTATCAAAAGATTGTTTATGTTTATCATTTTTCTCTTTCTCCTTTTTGTATGACTCCCTTTAGCTTGAAATGTTGCAAGAATTTCACAAGGAACTTTCAGTTATTGGTTGAAATTGCATCATTTTTATTGAGGGCTGACTTTTTTTAGAGTTAGTCATCCTGCTGACATGTGTTATTAGTCGGTTAATTGCTAAGCGAAAGTGATCAGGATATCCTTCAGATGCAAGACTGGAATATTTTTCACTTTTTCTCCTTGGCAGTGCCAAAACTTGTGAAGTTCATTCAGGTTTCTTCACCAAATAAATGATCCAAGCTCAAGTTAAACCTTCATCTTGAACATTACTACGGTTTGCCCAAATTAGGCTTGTATAATGTCATAGACATCATGCAGTGACACAATAATCCCTCATGAATTTTGCATTTTGCCAGAATAAATTACTTCAAATATAAAGTTAACAAATAGTATTAACCTAATGAGTTGTGCAAAAAACTTTGAAATATGTAGCAAATTTTGTAAGAATGGGTGCACTAACATAGAAAGTAGAAACTAATGCTGGATTGCAGTTTGACATGATCTTGTTCACGGACAAGCTCATGCTCAACAAAACATGAACCAACCAAGCTTGAACAGGTTTGTTAATCTTGCATCATGTTCAAAGCTTTGCTTGAATCAGACCCAAATTCACATTAACCCAAACTTAAGAAACGTAAAACTTTGCCTGAATCAGCTCTTTTGCGGTCCTACTAGAAACTAATCTGAACTGATATTTGCTTGAAGATTAGATGATTGCTGTAGTGGCACTTCAATTTGGTTGGTTTGATATAGCAATAGTCATTAAAATCCTTATATTGTTTGATTTGGTTCGGGAGCAGGCTAGTTGCAAAAACAATGCAGTTGGAGAGTGAGAAGACACAGAAAGAAACTGAAGTCCAGAAACTTATGGACGAAAATTTGAGGTTGAGTGCTCTTCTTGACAAGAAAGAGGCCCAACTCTTGGCCATGAATGAACAGTGCAAGGTGATGGCCCTGAGTGCATCCCACTTCTAGTTTGGCAGGATCTTGCTTGCATGTTTTCTTTATGATTGATCGGCTCACCTCACCTCTTACCTTTCAACTGAGTCGGTGATTTGTTGATTGGAAAATCTGGGTCTTCTCTTCAAATGTACAATTGAGAGGAACCTGTCAAACTTGTTATTTCGGTGCTATTATTGTCTTGTGCTGCTGGCTGACTGGAGCCAGAAAGTGCAACTGGTTTGAATGTATGCTTGTTGTATCAATCAAATATAGATTTGTTGCATCTTTTTATAGTAAGTAGATGCTTTGTCATTAATGCTTGGAGGAGATGACCTATTTATCATTTTATCGGGTAAATGCAGCAAAGATCAATGATTAATCGGGAAAAAAGTGATGAAGAGCAAAGCTGGGAGAAGATGAAGGCCAAAATTAAGGTGAGTTGAGCTAATATGAAGGTCGAATATGTACTCGATTCCATGCAGTTAGAGTAAGGCTTTTTCAAATTGTGCATTTAGCACGGTTTTGAATTTTGGTCAGAAAAATTCATATATATATATATATATATATATATAAATTTTGGAATTTAAATTTCAGTCTTGAAGTAAGAATCTTTGGTAAAATTCAAAGAAAGCCGGATTCAGAATCCAGGATAAGGCCATTTATTTTTTATTAGTTCAGCAAAAAAGTCAATCGAAGTTACTTATCAAAAAAAATAAAAAAAGAAAGTCAATTGAAGTTGCATAATATAGCCTAAAAAACTATAGAAATAGAAATTTCAAATTCTTTCAAAAGGTCTGAATTCTAAAAAAATAATTACGAACTATGAGGAAGCATTTTAAAAGCCTTAGGTATTGGTGAATTTGACAAAAAAAATTTGAACAATTTTGATATGCAATATACCTTTGGTACTTTATTAAAGTATAAACCATCCTCACCATCCATTTTTTTGAAGCAATTACAAGATTATACCTTTGATACAACAAAGTTAGGTATGCCTTTGGTCTTCCTCTTTGTGCACTGTGCTGAATAATGCACATTTTTTAAAAATTTTTTCCCCATATTGTTCATGTGACTTCTCTCACAGGCAAAAGTGGTAAAATGACACAACATGTTGTGGGGTTGCAAATTACATAATATGCATCACATCAATGTTTCCAATAGAATTGGATTGATATGTTGGACTACATCTACAAATGCTTTTAGGTACTTTCATAAATATGTCTTTTTTATTATAAGGATATTGTGATGTAAATATGATTAGGGTCTTGAAATGTGTTTACATTGTCATTTGTTATGAATTACATGATGTCTCACATGGCTGTGGTTTTGTCCCATGTTTCTATCTTAATAGCTTTTATTGCTATATATCACTTATTTATTTGCATGTTGAGATTGATAGAGGCAATGCTATCATTCTTCACTTAGTGTTTGCATTAAGAGCTGACGTGCAGAAACTAAAGTGAAGCTTACTTGCCTCCATAAGTTTTCCCAGTTTGTAGATCCAGCTGTTTTGACATGTTTAGTTTGGTAAACTGAGATGAATCAGGTAAGTAGGGTGATTTTTTGCAGCTCCTTACACCTTTTGTCTTTACCAATAGGTTTTGAAGGCAAGAGTAACATGGCCTCACATGCTAATCAAGAGACAAGATCACCATCAAGTATCAACCAAAAGAGGGTGCCTGTGGTTGCTAGCTATCATGGTCTTTGCCTCCCAGCGACAACGATATTCTATCCACTGATCCTCTGTCCTTCATTTGGTACCCATTCTCCTTCACACTACGTCGGAGAAAAACCTCTTGATCCAATACTTTAGAGTGCACAGCAGATTCATTCCAATCCAAATGTGTGTAGAAACAAATGACTTTTTTTGTTATCCTAATACTGGGATGGGCATAATGGATAGAGAGGGACTGACTGTATAGCTTCTGAAGCTGGCTTTCCTGGGCCATAGAACATGGGAAATAGTTCATGTGTCATCATAGCGGAGACCAGACACTAGTGGTGCTCATTTTTAGAAGGAAAATGTGTCTACTCTGCTTATTTCTATCCAGTAGCCCTGTTTGTTGGTTTTTGGTTGTAGCAGGGACACATGGGAAGTCATTTAATGTCGAGACATTCATCTTACAGAGGACAGACTAGCAAAAAAACAAGACTGAAAATATGTGCACATTGATATATCTATAGCAGATAATAATAATGTGTGTGTTTATCTGTCCATGTATGCAGGGAGCATGCTATTAGATTGAAAGATATAAGGTGAGTAAATGCATCCAAAAAGTTTTCTCATGATTAGGCAGTGAATTCAATGTGTGTTTCTTGTCATCAAGTCTACCCCTTAGCCCTTAACGGGCAAAACCCAGTGCACAAGACTCGTATCATTACAGGTTTAGGAAGAATTAAATATAAGCGGAATGGGCTCTCGTCATTACAGAGTCCAGAGTCTAGAAAGAGTTAAATGTATGTAGAATGTAAGACTCTCGTCATTGACAGAGTCAGAGAAGATTATAAGTCTACCCCATGCCCCTAATTGAGGGTTAAGGCATCTTGACCTTGTCGGCTTGTAAGTGAAGAAAGGTGCATCCTCAATGGGCCATGGTATGCTCCATAATTCAATTGATGGCCTAAAGCAATCTACTTTTTAGGAGGAGCAATAGTGATTGCGTAGGGGCCCATTGACCACCCATAAATTCATTGGTTGACCGCAGCCCAAAAAAGGGTTTTGAAATGATTTGTCCCAAGAATTGAAAAGAAGTTACTTTAATTTTGATACACAGCGTGTTAGAAGGTCCAGACTTATTAGATAGTGGTCCAACCACTAGTGCCTAAACTCGTCCCTTTCGGCAAGAACTTGTCAAACCCCATTAGGATCTTTTTGGTAGATTAAGCATATTATTAGAAGAACAAACAAGGCTTAAGCGAGGCCAACAGAGTAACCACAAAAGGAAAACAAACAAGCTTACCACCAGAGCCTAAAACAAAGCAACCACCTAACAATAATTATGCAGCCAAACTGAGAGACTCAGTTCCAGCCAGCATCACTCTAGCAGCTAAAATGAGAGAAATATATACTGCTCCAAGAATGACCCAAGTCATCTTCGGTAATATGAAATTAGTACATTGAAATTAGGATCAGAAAAAAATCAATTATCGGCATAAATGTACAGGAGCAAGAGAAGAAAGATTATTATGATATCTCTATTGGAAATCATAGAGATATATCAACCACATTATTAGAGTATCTAATCATGCGCGCGCGTGGATGTGTGATGATAGATTTACATAAAAATTTGTTTTATATTTTTTTGTGTAAAAATATATCCTTTAATAACAAACAATCAATTACGTGTCTTGTAGATTTACACAAAAATTTATTTTATACTTTTTGTGTAAAAATATATTCCTCAATAACAATCAACCAATAACACGTATCATGTCAGGACCTACATAACTTTTACAAACTTACTTTACAAACTTACTTAATATAGGGTTAATTTTTTAATGAAATGAGAAAGAAGAAGGGTAAATGAAATATGTTGATGTGACTATTTTAAAAGATTGTGTAAAATACATAATAATTTTACACATTAGTATATAAAAAATTTACACATAATATATTTTACACAAAATAATATTTTAATAGACTGCTTGAAATGTTCTTTCTTTTAAGTTAAATCGGTCAGATGGATAGGAAAACATAAGAAGTAGAAAACCATTTAATATAATCAGAGCTCTGGGAATTAAAATCAAAAGGTTTTGTCAAATCCATTTATATATGTATATATTATCTCTCATATATGTATATATTTTTGGATACAAGTGTAACATGCCTACCCCTATTTTTTTCATAGAAGAGACAGTCCCGAGACGGCATAACCCGGCCATTCTTTGGATGTTTTTTACGAAAATGGGACAGTTTCGTATTTGAGCAATTATTAGTTAGAATAGTTCTTTTTCTTTTATGGCTCTCTGAGCTTTCATTTTTTTTATCAACTCCATAATTTTTTATTTTTTATATACAACTTATTTTATTGAAAACAAGATTTCCGTGATTAGTTCAATGGTATATTTTTCATTCTTTTAAAGGAGAGGGGTTTAAGTCTCATTGTAATGTTTGAATGCTTATAGTATCTTCAACCGTTGTGTATATATATATTTTTATATATCATAATAGATTTACACAAAAATTTTAAATTATTTATTTTTAACTTTAACGGTTATTTTATATTTTTTGTGTAAAAATATATTTCTCAATAACAACCAACCAGTGAACCCAGTATTTTTTATAAACCTACTTTATATAAAGTTGATTTGTTAATGGAATAAGAAAGAAGAAAGAGAAAGAAATATACTAAGATGACTGTTTAACAAAATCATATAAAATATATAATAATTTTACACATAAATGGCGTGATGGTTTATCTAAACAAAAAAATAAAAATATCTCGAACTCAATTTCCATATAAAGGACGCTGCTGTGCTCGTGTTTGCTTTCTTTGGCTTCTATGTATTTGTTATGTTATAAAAAAAACCATAATAAATAAATAAAGGCTTTTTTTTGTGTCCACAAGCAGGAGCTAATAAAGTTACCCCAACCCATGATATGGTTGTACCCTGACCTGAGGTGTGGACAAAATGTTAGAGAGAGAACAATGTGTGTGTATGTGAGAGAGATATATACATATATATATATATATATATATATATATATATATATATATGTTGTCTAGGAGTGGCAATGCTAAGCCCAATGGGGGTATGAACCCGCATGCCTTGGACACCCCCAAAACAGACCAATCTTTAGTTATTGTCCCAACACTACACATGACTTTGTTTCTCAATCTCTCCCCATAAATACCTCTCCACACCCTTCATTCCTCCCCACCGCCACCTTCCCACTTTTCCTCTCTCTCTCTCTCTCTCTAAAAAAAAACTCAATGGCTCTTAGGAAATCAGCATCCCTGAAGCAAATCCTGAAAAGGTGCTCAAGCCTTGGTAAGAACAATAGTGGTCTTCCTCATGACATACCAAAAGGCCATTTTGCTGTATATATAGGAGAAAACAGAAGCAGATACATTGTTCCAGTTTCGTGGTTGGCTCATCCGGAGTTTCAGAGTCTACTTCAAAGAGCCGAAGAAGAGTTCGGGTTTAATCATGACATGGGTCTTACCATTCCTTGTGAAGAAGTGGTTTTTCAATCTCTAATATCCATGATCGGATGAGAGACACGACGATGATGATCAACCAGAGCTAGCTAGGTGGTTTAATTTATGGAATTTTTCTTGAGAATTAATATTAACATAGCAAAAATGGAATTTGCTTGTAGCAACTCATGGCATGTGATAATTCTAACCAAAATCCATTTGACTCTTTTGTGGGTCGGGTTTGTATATTGTTGAGTTGGACATGTTTATACTGCTGACCCTGTTGGTTGTACTATTAAAATAACTGATATCATTCAACTGAGTCTCTCTCTCTCTCTCATTATGTGTTTTTTTATTCTGCCTTTGCATTTTTTGTTTATTTATTTTTTATTATAAAGTTATAAATCTGTTGATGCATGTACTGGTTTTTAAGGGATGAATCAAACAGTCATACCTGAAGTCTGTTGAAGGAGGATTCGATCTAAAATCTTGGAGCATGATTGGAACTTGAAAAAGTTATCTGACACCCATAATTAATAATAACAAATAAATAAATGGCCATCCTTCCTGGTTTTTTTGTTTTTTAAATCATTGACAAGAAACTCACACACTATCGTTTACATTCCATTTTGCTCATTTGGAGACGTCGCCGGCAACTCATTTTTTTGGCCGACTGTGAACAATGCAGGGGGGGCCATCGTCCACCCCCATCGCATCGGATGTGAGGGGCGGGCGACGAGATGTGAGACTCCCAGACAGACGTAAAGTGTGTGATTTGGTTGATTGAAGTGTTTTGTGACGTTATGTGATGCTATAAGTATAATAGTGAAGCCGATGTCCAATTGGATGGAAACCTTTCTCATCCATCCAACTATAATTTTGTTTTTCTCAATTTTTACCATTCATTTTAAAAAGGAGAGAATATACCACTAGACTGCAAGTTCGTTTGTGCCATCAATAGTTCACTTGTATTAGTACTACAAAATAAAGCATATCTTTCTGTCTGGGCTTCAGCACTAAGGCCCATGATCTTGGAGGGACTGAAGCCTGAAGAGACGGTCCCAGCCCGTGATTGGTTTCGTGCCTCAACCTGAATTTTAGACCATTTTTTATTTTTTATTTTTATCATTTTGATGGCTGTAAAATTAGATTTGCAACATATATAATCCAACCCGCAACACCATATTAAATTAAATGTTTGATTGAGTGAAAATAGATGGAAAAAATGATAATATTATTTTATAGAAATACATTTATTAAATTATTACTATGCTTGATTAAAGATAGTAATGTCTTTTTAAAATACACTTATTAAATTAACATGTTTGATCAAAGATATTAATGTCTTTTTCTTATTCTTTTGCTTTATTTAAATTCTATCCAATAAATAATCTCTCTTTTTTTTTAAATAGGAGAATAATAATATTATACTCTTTCTTTCAATTCTAGATGGATGTAAAATGGTAGCTTCTAAGGATTTGAATCTATGTTCTCATCTTTCTCTGTTCCATCACACACACACACACACACACACACACATATTCCCTTACCCAAAACTTATTTATGATAAAAGAATATACTTCCTCCTCTGATAAGGATGCACACGGTTTAGATTGGATCGATTTGAGAATATTTTAGAATTAAATCGTTTTTAATGATTCCATAAAAATTAGAATCGAACCAATTCGTAAAAGCATGCATAGTCAAATATTCAAAAATGTAATCGATTTGGTCGGTTTGATTCATAAAACCAATGTAACCAAACCAGACGCGTAATATATATAAAAAATCAATTTGGTTGCTTTCTTATAATTCCATCTAATATATATACACAATAAAAAATATACATTATATATAATATAATTTTGTATTATTATATAATTTGTTGTTATATAGTATGATATAGAGTAGAGTGGTTAAAAGGCTAATTTTATTATTGTGTTATTTACATAATACAAAACATATAAATATATATACAATTTATAAAACAGTTCAATTTGGCCTTATAAAATTTCAAAATTGAAATCGAATTATTTATAAACGATTTTATATTTTTGAAACCATAACTGAACCGAACCATGAAAAAACCGAATCAAACACATCAGTCTGATTTGATTCGACTTGATTTATCAGTTCAACTGATTTTTTATGCACCCCTATTATATAAAAGTTTTTAAAGATCATGCACAATTGAAGAAAATAAATAAAAGTACAAGCAAGACTCTTCAACATTAATTTTGTTTTTTTCTTAAAAAAACGGAAAATAAAGAAGAGAAAATGATACAAATGAATCATCTATTTCTATCAAAATACAAAAATATAAATAAAATCGAAAAAAAAAAAAGTTGATTGAAGGATAATATTAATAATATTCACTTCTCCTTGTGTTTGATTGATCGAGGAGTATATTTACTTATATTCTTTTATATTTAAAAATTGAGTGGTATTTTTGTATTGTCTTTGAGCGAAATCTTACTTTTATTTTTTTTGAACCTTGAGAAATCAGTACTTACTACAAAACTATTGAACTCGATTCGTTGAGCGAAATTCCCTTTTGTATATTTCTGTTCTTCCTGAACCGTGTGAGAAGCCCGATGAAGCTGATGGAGAGGAAAACACTTTCTCGTCTTATATGCATTGTTACTGTGAACATCTTACTATCGTCTAGGGTTTTCAGCATCAGATTTCCGGATCGAATCTCTCAAATCCCAAAGGATTCGTCTGTTCAGTCTCTAAAAACTGCTGTGTTCGCCCTCGGCTGTTTTTGGAGATCTGAAACCGCCTTTGGATGCTTGGACGGAGTTGTGCGGACAACCGTTGGCTATGCCGGTGGATCTAAAATTAACCCAGAATACCGAAGTTTGGGCGATCACGCCGAATCTGTACAGGTCCCATCTCCATCTCTTTCTCTCTATATGTATCTATGTATATAAATTATTCGGTTTTACTTACAATCACGGAGGTTGCTGTTAGCTAGGGCAGTTGATTTTGAATCTTAGACATTGTGACATTTGAAAATGAGAAACTAAAACTCCACTTTATTCTGACCATTCCAATTGTTTGATTTGAATAAGGTGACTCATTCAATGAAATAATTTAGTATATGTTGTTGACCAATTAGCTGACTAGCAACTGTATAGTTTTGATTCATAAAATAGATAATCTATTTCACTTTGTTTAAAACATAATACATTGAATGTAATTCGTGAAAATTTGAAAGTTCAAAGGAGGATGTTGTGAATTGTGGTTCCAACGAGGCTTAAAAACTTACATTTTCTGAGTTAATTCGTAAGGAATGGATGATTGAGAGGATGTTAATTATATTATTAGTGCAAGATTGGTGAAATGGAGAAGTGCCATTGGAATGTCATGTGATTCTAGAATTCCTATCTAGTTGGACGAAATTTATATAAGTTGGTTTTAAGGATTTCTTAGTTTTACTATACAACGCGTCTGATGTGAATGTAACCAAAATGAGGGTTTTAACATAGATCAGTGGAAATGCAAAGAAGAAGAATAATAATATGCTTGGTAGACAAATATAATTTAGAAGATTTGATTCTTAAGAAAAGGTGAAAACAAATAAGAGGAAGGTTAGAAATTTTGTGTGGGAAACAGTGGGAGCAAACACGCTTAGAGTTGGTAAATGAAAAACCATTCACATAGAGAAGATGATGCTCGGTTGGCAATAAGATGTGAGATATGGATCCGATCCTCCTTTCAGCTGGAGATTGGAGACCACTCCTGTGGAGTCTGGATATTGCCAGATATCGAGTTGCAGGAGTAACATGTGGGCTAATGTGGAGATGTCATGTAGGTTGTAGAGGCACTTAGGCTGGCTGCCACCTTGGATTTTTTTTTTCTAGTTGATAACTCAGACAGCCACCTTGGACATTTTGTGCAGCCATGGGGTCAGTTACCCAGAACAGCACTGCCTAGGCCAGAAAAAGTACCAGTCCTAGTTCTCAATAATAATAATAATCAAGATTCGTTATTTTGTTTACCTCCCCCTCCCCCTCCCACTCAACCAAAAACAAAACTTGTGATGTCATACCTAGACTTGCATAGCTTTTGCACTTCAATGGAAACTAACTTTTATTGCAAATGCTTGGGGCTGGTATCCTCAATCACTTTATCTTAATATATTTAATCAAGAGAAAGTAAATATCTTGGGATTTTAAAGTTGAAATTCACGGCATATCATTTCCAGGAAATTTATAATCTTTTAGTCAAATGTTTATCATCAGGTCCCAAACTCCCAAAATAGATTATATTTCTAGAACACGATTTATGTTGTGGTATTATTCTCCATGTGAACTTTCATGGAGTGTTGCTTTTCAATACATACTAAGTTCAGGGTTATCTTGTTTCTTCAACAAATAAGACATGCAATGCTATGGGACTGGTCATTCATCTTTAGATGAATGTCTCGTTTATTTCTTGGATGAACTTAAGATGCATACTCCTTTGCTTGATTAGTACTTCCAAGTGTGAACTCCTGTTGCAATCAGGTTTCATTGATGTAGAGTTATTCTTTAGGAAAAGTTCTTGTTGGATTTTTGTTTTTTGTTTTTTCTTGGCTGATAAATGAGTTTGTATTTCTTATCGCACATAAGTTTCATTAACTCTATAAGTAGATTTCCAGGATATGAGTTGAGGCTTATAAGAAATATGGGTCTATGAGGTTTTCACATTATTTCGTAGGGAGGTGCAGAGAGTGATACAATAAGCATAGAAACTAGGGTTGCAACTTGGTTGGTTTGCTTTCAGGTTAGGGATATGCTCCAGGTTCATAAGGAGGTCTTGAAGCCTCTGCCCCACCCTAACTCCATATGGCCTTTTAACCCGAACTATCCAAGCCTGTGCCTAAGACCTCCAACTATAATCTAGGCTGTCCAAACTTGTTTGGGTTCATTGGGCTTTGACCAGTTTGGGTTGTGTTGGCTGTATTGGGAGCATGGCTTCTTAAAATGTTTCAAGATTGAGATCCAAACTGCGCAACCGTCAATTTCTGTGCACGTACATCTACACAACCATATATGAAGTTGGGTTTAGTTGAGTCAGGTAGACCGAAACCTATGTCCATACTCAATCCAAAGCACAGTCTGGTTGAGGTTTTCCTGTGCAATTTCAACCCAAGTAAAAGCCTCCCATGCCTGCCTACAGTTTGATTGGGACAGGTTGAGCCCAACCAAGTTGCAGCCCTAACAGAAACAGCTTTAGTTTTTTGGCCCAGGTATCATTGGGTAGTTTGGACTATGATTTCTCTCATCCCTCGTATTTGGGTGTTAATAATTCTTTTACATTGTTATTTCTCCATGGCTGTTAATGCCCATCATCTATTGATGTAAGAACAAAGTGGGTCATTAATAATTATTATTATATTTGTTATTGGATCTCATATGGATATGCTTCTGGGTGCAACCAGTGGTATCAAAGCTTGCTGCCCAACAATTCTAGGACACATGAGCTAAAAATTTAATATAGGACTGCTGTTCTGGGCATTATAGGATTTTATTAATGTATTTATTTATTTTCCAGTTGCGAGTCAAGGGTTCGTGATAGTTATTGATTCTAACAATTAAAATTTTATTGCACAATGTGCCCTGCCCTGATGACTGTAAGTTTGATCCTGGAGGTAGGTATGATGACCTTCAACATCTTATGATTTGCATTGACTTGATGTGAAAATTTGATGCTGCTTCTATATTGAATTAGTTACTTGGGTTATTTTATCTAATGATGGGTAACATATTTGTAATCATTTCTGAAGAATCTTAACATTTAGGTTTGTTTGCGACAGTATTCATATGTGACGTATAGGTGTTTCTAGGCCTGTCTATTTTCGGTCAATGATTGGTGTAGACACTTAATGGACTCGTGTGACTAATTAATACGAAGACTTGTTTATTTAATTCACTGTCATTGATTGATGACCTAGATCTGCCCAAAATAATTTTCTGACTATTCAATAATAAATTTACAAAGGAGAAGTTGATTTTCCATAACCGGTATTTGTTAAGGCATAAGTGGCTTGTAGGCAGAGTTACATTTTTACCGTGGATTGTACTTGAGTTTTTACTTTTATTTATTTATTTATTTATCTTTGGCTTTCGGGTTCCATATAAGAACTTCGCAATCCTGGAATGACATGTTTCTTCTTCTAATGTTTACTTCTGTGGAAACTTGTGTGATGTGTTCTTTTGGATGACGTGCAGATCGAATATGATCCTCAGCTGGTTAATTTCAGGCAACTTTTGGAGGTGTTCTGGTCTAGTCATGACTCTAGACAAGTATTTGGACAAGGTCCTGATGTGGGCACTCAGTACAGGTTTGACCTTTAGCACTTCTTTTATGTCAACACCATTCTTATTTTTACAAGCCTTGTTGCCCAAATGGTGTCAAGAAGCTCTTAAACAATATAATTCATTCTAAAAATATGTTATCGTGTTCCTAACACAAGGGAAAAAAGGGTTGCATTGCTTAGCTAGTGAAACACTCTATGTTAACAGGTCTATTATCTTTACTAATGGAACTGAAGAATCCAGACTTGCTGCTGTCAGCAAAGAAAGAGAGCAAACTAAGTCGAAGAACGGTATCGTGACTACTCAAATTCAACAACTTGGAACATTTTATACAGCAGAACCTGAACATCAGGTTTGGTATTCTTTATGCAAACTTGTTAAGATTCTGAAGCAAAACTATACAACAACGTAGAGCTCATTGGATGCATTTCTATTATGAGATAAATTTAATGGCCAAGTTTTTGGGCATTAAGCAACTAAAATTAAGTAAATCACAGAGATGTCTTGAGGTTTTTAATATATTACTTGACATTGAAGATGTTATTTTTTCTCTGAGACATAAAATAGGAAGAGGTAGAAGAACTGGGTAGAAAAACTTGGCTACATTTTCTCAAGAAGCTGTTGTTTTTTTTGTCTTCAGTGTACAAAGTCAATGTCGTCCTTGCTTTTCAATAAACATGAGCACATTTTCTCAAATTAGAGTTAACATTTCAAACTTATTCCTTTAAAAAAAACTCAAGTGAATCACTGACCACCATTCCACATTTAATCTGCAGAAATTTGAGCTTAAACGAAATCCATTCCTTCTTCAGCTGATTGGGAACTTACCTGAAGAGGACCTTGAGAGGTCAAGCCTGGCAGCAAAACTAAACAGCTATGCAGCAGAGCTTTGTCCGTGGAAGATTCAAAAACATATCGATGCAAGGATCAATGACATTATTAAAAAAGGTTGGCCTATTTTAAGAGAATTGTAGTTAGGCAATCTTGCTTATTCAAACTGACAAGATTCCCAAGAATTTCCATTGGAGTAAAATTTCAGACCAATATGCTTTAGATGAAATCCATTGATTTGTCCGGCTCATTCAAAGCCTGATTTACTGAAATTTTGAGATGCTGAATCTGGGAGTTGTGATTTTACATCTGCAATTCTTGCATTTGTATCAAGGGGATTTTAGGGTTATTATATTTTGGGATACAATATGCGGATGCTGACTACCATATTGAATCATTGATGTTCCTTGACACAAGGAATAACCCCTTCGGACGCTTTCCACAGCACCTAGAATGAACATATCAAGAGAGAATTTAGCCGGTAGATGATACATACGAATTTAGCCGGTATATAATGCATATACGAATTTAGCCCCATGACGCACATTTTGAACCGTTGCTAGTATATTTTGGAAATTAATACTTTACAACCGTAGCAGGTTTGATATTTCGAGTGTTAGTTAAATGTAGTTGTTGCATCCAGTTTGCACTATGATGGTAGTTTTGAGAGGGGTTATTGTTTGTTGTTGTCAATAGAAGGATTCTATTGCCCACTTTTTTGTCTTGCCACATTCCCTTCCATACAGGCTGTTGCATCGTTCTTTAACATGCCTCCAAGACATGTGGACGCGACTTTGGACGAGTCACAGTAAATGGGGTCAAAACAGTAAAATCATCATCAACCAATTCCATTTTGAATTTTCTAATGCAGGAAGATTCATACGAAAAAAAAGAAGGAAAATTGGCCTTATTTTATTGAAACCTAATCAAAAGCTTATTCCTATTGTTAAACTATATTTTTAGGTGGAGAAATTATATAGTCTCAAGATTATTGATTCCGATCAATCACGTGTTTATACATAAGAAAAAAATAAATTAAAGTTAGTCACGAGACCATGTAATAGTAGGCCTCAGTCAAATAATAATATTATTACTAAATCTTCTATTTTGTGAGGTTATTATTGTATTAAAAATTATATTTTAAAAGAAAAAGTCGGAGGTATATAATTTGAACACAAATAATCTCATTATCCATGAACTTTAATTTAATTAAACTTTGATTATAATCTATAATTTGTTGAAAATGTAGTTTTGGGTTTGGAACGAAAAGAAGGCGTGCACAATCCATCCCTTTCTACACTCAACAGACCAGTGTCATTTATCATCTTGTCGCATTTTGGGCCGTCATATTGTTTAGCTATTAATTATGATGTTGTGATTTGATGAGAATATAAGTTGGTATTTATGTAGATTTTATAGTGAATATATTTGGTGTTGGTGGAACTTGGGATATGTTTAGTAAAGTTTTTATGTTCTAGAAACGGCACACTTTTTCGAGCTAACAGTTTATATCTTCTTCAAGAATGTTGGTTGATTGTTTGTTTAATTAGGGATTTGCATTTTCACGATTTGGGAAGACAACTAAAATTTTATATGGTCCGTCCAAAGGACTCGACATCAACTTCAACGTGGATCTTTGTCAAATATCGACAAAGTAAAAATAAAAGAATATTTTACCTGAAAAAAAAAAATTCAAAAAGAATTTTTTACGTCGAAACAAACGGAGTCTAAAAAAGAAATTGGTTTTGGATGGTTATTTGATTGTTAATGTGCATCCGGTGTTGCATTTCAATGTCCGAAGAAAGTTAGTGTTATATTTATATACATGTATTAAGTATTATAAAATTTTAGTTCGTTTATAGTTTTTATACTAAGAATTGTAATGACTTTATACTTACTTCATTATTTTGACATAATAGTGTTTTATTTTTAATAAATAAGTATTATTTAATACTTCACTTGTCATCATACGTGTATTGTGTCTCAAATTTTTTTTTTCGAAAAATATCCGTGCTTCACATGATATAATTGATAGATAACACAAATAATAAAATATTAAAAGTGTAAGAAAATCTCGAGAGAATTACTTAGATGAGCAATCAAGCATGGCATAGATTTTCAACACGTTAGAAAAACACGGCATCATCATCTTTGGACTACCCAAGACCAAGTAGGAAAATTGAAGTCAGTTATCATGGATTCATGGTAGTGTTCGTTCTCACTGTGAGATGCTTCTCTCAGTCATTGAATTGAAAGTGGTGAAGAGTCATTATATTATATCACGCAATACAGGTATGATGACAAGCAAAGTATTAAATAATATTTATTTATTAAAAATAAAAACACTATTATGTCAAAATAATCAAGTATAAAGTCGTTACAATTCTTAGTATAAAAACTATAAATGAACTAAAATTTTATAATACTTAATACATGTATATAAATATAGTGTTCAAGCTGTTTTCATATCCTACATTTTTAAAATTTATCTCTAGAAAAATTTATACAATCAATTTTTTATTATTTTTGTCTGGTATTACGTACCCTCCTTTAGGTTGTTGTTGATCAGGCATACTCTGGCTTAACATTGACTCATTGTTTGCTTCCATCGGAGTATGAGTTTGATGATGGTTATACAACAAATATATTTGCAATTTTCATTTAATCTTAGATTCAAATTTTGGTTGGATTAGATGGAAAATCTTACAAACCTTGGTGCCATAGGCAGTGATTCATACATGCATATTTTTTTTCTTCTTTTGTATGAAGAGACGTATGGTCTCCTTTCCTTTCATTCTGCTTTTGCGAGCAGTAATGTCAGAATTCTCAGAATTGTTTTATTTTGTATTTTTTATAACAATGCTTGCTAATTGCAATAATAGTTATTTTTTTCTACTAATTACAATATTGTAAGTCTGTAGTCTTGTAAATTAGGATATCTGTAATGAATTATGGTTTTACCACTCTTTTTGATGAATGATGATGAGAAGATAATATTGTAGAATACACTGTTCTTCCACTTGTCTAGTGGATTGAGAGAGTTACGGGTCTTGCCGCATTAAGACTTGCTCAACAGGGATGCAAAGGTATGTTGAGATTTCTTTTTCTTTGAGATAATTAATTTAATTATAAGAAAGTTTCTTATTTATTTGATTTAATTTGGAAAACCAATTATAAGAAAGTATCATAAGGGGGATGCAAAGGTATGTTGAGACTTCTTTTTCTTTGAGATAATTAATTTAATTATAAGAAAGTTTCCTATTTATTTGATTTAATTTGGAAAACCAATTATAAGAAAGTATCATAAGCTATTATTGATTAGGGATAGCTGGATGAGTTACAGTATTTTGGGAAGGAAAATGTTTTGGTAAGGAAATGATGTACATTATGATATAAGTCGCCTAATTACATTATAGAACTTTATCTATTTCTCTATATATTTATGAGTTCTTCAATATTGTAAAACTTTCTAACTTTCTTTATAATACTTCATAACTCTTTAAATATTATACTGACAACTCCTCAAGGTACACTTATTAACGTGACAATTCGGAGACAATTTGACGACTTTTGAAGCTCAACGGTGGGAGTGTGTTGATGCCAAGTGCTAATCCCTTCTGGAGGTGCTTTTTGTATACATTGACCCACGTCGCAGGAGAGAATTAGTGAATATATCATACAATACCACTTATACATACTTTACCATCATTATACACACTTTCTACTCCCATTTGCTTACCAGATCCACTAACTTTAATTTTCTAACAAATTAGGGCACCTAAATTCTTTTTTAAGTGAAAATTTTAAAAATAGAGTAAAATTTAACATAATTCCGTATAACAACAATTGATAATTTTTTATTTTGATTAAAACTTAGGCTCCGTTTGTTTAGATGTAAAATGTGTTTTAAAAAATATTTATTTGGTATTTGGTTGTCGTAAAATATTTACGAAGAAAAAAATATTAAAGTCTAACAAAATAATTTACTTATTAATTTTTGGCAAATTATTTTATACCCCATTCCCTTAATAAATTTGACCTCAATCTCAACCTAAACCTTTATCAGACAAGAATATATATATATATACATATATATATTTTACTTTAAAATAAACGGAACCTTAGTGTAACAATGTATATGAATGTAAACTCTTACAAATTTTAATGAAATATATACATAGAGTGGTGATTTGAGCAAAAAAATTTATCGACACTATAGATATAGTAACAATTAGATATGATTATACTCAAAAAGTTTCTAAACTCAAAAATCACTATTCTTCCCATTTAAAAGTTTCTAAACTACTTATCTCCTCCATTTAAAAGTTTTCTAAACTAACATTAGTCAAAATAATAATAATAATAATAATAATATGGTATTAATCAATTTTGTTAGTTTATGTGTTGAAAGAGAAACAAAAGAGAGAATAAAGGGGAAAAAGTGACAAAACTCAAAAAGTTTTTATCAGAAAGCGGAATATTGACCCATTGTGAATGACTTTCTCTCAATACTCACTCTTCTATCCCTCATGCATAAAATTAAAATTATGTATTGTAATTTTGGATACTAAAAGACTATATATATCAATATTTTAAGTTATTGAATAATTTGAGATAAAAAATTTGTTATTTTTTTTATATTCAATTAAAGTTAAGATAAATATTTGTTCTTAGTGATGCATTTTCATGGATTTGATTATTTTTATAATGTACACTACATATGATTTGGTAATAAAAAAAAAAAAAAAAAAAAAAATCCGCTTTGTCCGGTTTTGAAAATGTACACCTCCAAAGAACATGGATATTGTGATGATCTCCAACAATGTTGCTGTTTTTTGCCTTTTAGGGCTCCAAAAGATTTATAAAGCTCCTTCGAGGAATCTAATTGACGTTGATGGAAGAAGGCAGCAGGAACTGATCATCATCTATGGCTGCCCAATCCCATGAAAATTTGGGTTGGGTTCAAGCTTGCGCGCTCAAATTGAACCCCTAACTTTTTTTTAGGGATCATTTTTTGAATTAAACCACGAATAACGTTAAGGGTGATCAAAAAACCAATTGAACAGAACAATCGGTTTGTTTGATTTTTTCATGATTCGGTCCGGTTCTAAATTTAGGTTCAAAACATTTATAAACGTTTTGGTGCTGATTTGGATCCTTCGTGATCAAACTGAACCATTATATAAATATAAATTTATGTATTATATATGATAGTGGAAATTATAAAATTATAACTAAAGTGGCCTAATTTAGGCGTTTGATTTTCATTAATGAAATTGTATTTTTACTCATAAAAAAAAAATAAAAATAAAAAA